GTGGTTGCCAAGGGGGCGGGGGGTAGGAAGGGACAGACTGGGATTTTAAAATGCAGAACAGAAAAACAAGATTATACTGTATAGCACAGGGAAAAATATACAAGATCTTGTGGTAGCTCATAGCAAAAAAAAATGTGACAATGAATATATACATGTTCATGTATGACTGAAAAATTGTGCTCTACACTAGATTTGACATAACATTGTAAAATAACTATTACTCAATAAAAAAGTCAAACAAACAAACAAACAAAACAAAACAGTATCTAAATCTCAAGTATGGCCGCTGAAAGTCTCTGTTGTACTTAAAAATCCCTGTTATTCAAGGGAAAAAGGGGGAGAAGATGGAGCTTTCTGAATCTGCAACTATATCACAAAATCCCTTTAAAAGTTTTAACGAGCAACTGTAAATTTTTCATTTCATTTTGATTCTTGGTTTCTTTTTTCTAGAGTTTCAAAATTCCCACTCTGCTTACTCGTGGGATACTACAATTTGCTATTTACCAGGGCCTAAATCTCCTTCTTCATTTCCTTCCCTACTTCCCTTTTATTAGGGTTTCTAACAAGACATTGCCTGGAACAAAGAAAGAAAATTTATATATGTTCATTTTGCTTCTGCTAATTACAGTGATAACTTTGCAGAGGAGGTTAAAAACTTGAGTAAGATGATTAGTTTATATACACAAATAATCTAAAGCTATCATCAATTTTGCATGGAAATTACATGGATATTCTAAGCAGCCCTCTAAATAGTAAAGGATAAAATGCTTTCAGAAAGTAAGAATGAAATGTAATTATAGAATTAAAAAATATAATAAATTTTTTAAAACTTGGTGGATGCGTTCAATAGTAGAGTTGAACTGACAGACAGGATCAGTGAATTGGAAGATATATCAATAGAATTTACTCAATTGAACAAGATGAAAACAGACTTAAAAACAAAAATCAGCACGATCTCAGGGACTTGTAGGAAAATAACAAATGACCTAACATTGTAAACCAGTCTCAGGGGAAAAGGAGAAAGAGCATGGGGCTGAAAAATTATTTTACAAAATGGATTAAAAACTTCTCTAATTTGGCAAAACACACAAAACCTACAGATTCAAGAAGCTGAGTTAATCCCAAATAGGATAAATACAAAGAAAGAAATACCAAAGAAACACAAAGTATATCATAGCCAAACTTCAGAAAACTAAAAACAAAGAAAAAAAAATCTAAAAAGCAGTCAGAGAAAAATGACATATTACCTATAGGGGAACAATAATTCAAATGTCCGCAGACTTCTCATCAGAAACCAGGGAAGCCAGAGAGTAGTGGCACAATTTTTCAAGTGCTGAAGGAAAGTAACTCTCAACCCCAAATTTCATATCAGAAGAAACTATTCTTACTATCCTTCAAGTATGAAGGGGGAATAAAGATATTCTCAGATGAAGAAAAATAAAAGGAATTTGTCACTAACAAACCTATCCTTAGCAAGTTCTTCTACAGGAAATTCTCCAAACAGAAAGGAATACATGAATAAGGTTTAACTTCAGAAAAAAAGAACAACGGAATAGGTAAAAGCAGTTTTAAGTATCATGGATTATGTTTCCCCTCATGAGTTCTTTAATCATATTTGATGGCTGAAGCAAAGTTTAGTGTGGTGCTCAATGTATATATAGGTAATCTGATAGTTACATTTTAAAAATGGAAAGGCTAAAAGGACCTAAATGTAAGTAAGGTTTCTATACTTCACTTAAGGTAGTAAAATGTCAATACAAAGGTAGTCTGTGTGATGTTATGCATATATACTGTCATACCTAGGGCAACCATGAAATAAAAAAGTATACTAAAAGATATACTCAAAAACACCGTAAGTCAAATAAAATTCTAAAAAGCATTTAAGTAACCTACAAGGAGGCAAGAAAAGAGAAACAGAAGAATGATAACAGAAGCAGCGAACAAAAAACAAATAATAAAATGGCTGAATTAAGCCTTAACATATTAATAATCACTTTAAATATATATGGTCTAATTGTACGAGTCAGAAGTCTCTACTGGTAGAATGGCTTTAAAAAGAAAATGAACCTCAAACAAGTGGTTGGAGGTGGGGGGGTGGTGCCAAATTCAGAGATTGGTTCAAGAGTCAGTTCTTAACGGTACCTGGTGTAACAAATTAGAGGCGTGGGGGAAATTGACCCTGCTGAGAAACTTGATTCCAAACCAAAAGAGCCCGTAATGATCCCATTAATGGACAAGGTGGGAAACTGAGATCCACGGAGGGAAGACAGTGATTTGCGCAGGGCTAAAGGCTTGACTGGTACAAGAACTTAGACCTTTGTAGTTCTCCTCCCAGACTTTGGTCCCTGCTAGTCACTTCCTCCCGGCCAGTCGCCCAACGTCCTGGACCCTACTCCCCAGAGGGGCTACCATAAGACTCCGCACAGGCCGGCGGCGGTCAGCAGTACAATGGTACGTTCCCGCTGGGCCCGCAGCCAAAACCTACGGTCGAAGTGGTCCCGAACCCTCCAGCAGTTTCAGCACTGTTATTCACACCCCTACGGGCCGTCTGGCCAAGGGCAGCACGGGCTCTGAGAGAAGCCAGAGAAAGGGCTCCGATTCCCGCGTGCCTGCCCGGCTGTCCTTCCTCTTACAAAGTCCCCGAGAACGGGAGGTAGTACCTCACCTGTCCGACTAAAAGGCAGCGTGCTGTACCGCGACCGTCTTGGAGACACCGGGACCGGAAGTCCCGCCTTCCTCTGACGTCACAGCGCCGCGCCGCGCTCAGCTCCGGAGAACCGGCGCCTTTTAGGACACACTATGTGGCGGTGGCTGCGAGATTGTTGGCCCTGTGGCCCAGAAGCTGTAGCTGTGCTGTAACTTTCTCTTCCCTTACATTTGACTTTCATTCAACTCTTGTTTCAGTCGTCCTTGATATGCTTCCTGCTTCCCTTCCTCCTTTCTCCATTTCTCCCCCGTTTTTAACTCTGCCCGTGTTTTCCTACCTCCGTTACTGGTTGTATCTCTTTTTTTCCCTTCTCCACAGACACAGGAAAGTTGGTTCTCAGTTGACCTGTTTATTGACATTGGTATGCCTAGCCTCTGCTACCAGACCCTTTAGCAAAATGCTGAAGATGCTTATTCCAGAGATATTTCGAGCTTACCACACCCAAACTCCATGAAGACGAAGGTCATAGTCATCTTCTGAACTGTTGGCATCCTCAGCACCCGGCACTTAATAGGTGAGCGGCTTATATCTGTCCAAAAATGCAATAGAGAGTACCAGGTAGTTTTATTCAGGGAGAGAAGCAGGCAAGTAGACTCAGACAAGTAGAATCAGTAATCTTACCCACACACAGAAAAGAAGACTTGATCCTTTTGTATTCAAAGTTTCAGTGATAAAGCACCACCTTCCAAACAGTTGTTTGAAGTTGACTGGTGCTTCATTACCTTCCCTATTTCCAGTTTACTTCCTAAATATAATAGTTAACCCAGTGAGTTTAGAAAATGCCACTCACTGTGCTGAGAGCGTCTCATGAATCAACTCATTTTTAATCCTCAGCAACCGCAGTGAAGTCAGTATTAACACGTGACCATAGAGTTTGGAAACATGGACAAATGCACAAAATAAATGAATGATTACAGTAAAAAGACGTAAGATGTTCATGGTGGTGTCCCTCATTACTAATTCCAATGAGTATGGTTCACTAATGCAGCAATTCTTTGAATTCTTGCATGAGCATTTATGGTGCATTGCTCAAGTGATTTATGTTTCTGATTTCATTAAATAAGCCTGTGCCAGAAAAATTAACCAAACAGGTTCTATCTTTTTTAAATATCTTTCCAGACCTTTGGCCACTTTGTTATTATCCCCATTTTGCCCATAGCGTAAAATGAGGCACAGAGAAATTAACTTGCCCAAAGTCATTTGGCAGAGCCAGCCTCTGCTACCTATATACTATGTTATGCTTGGGTGAGTTCCCACTACCCCTGCTGTGGTTGAAGCACTTATTCTTTCACATCTAAACTATGTGAAGCAGCCTCCTAATTGTTTTCCATGTCTTTTCTCTTTCCTTGCTGTTTCCAGAATGCTCATGCTATTCAGTAAAATTTTCATGCTTTTGCACACACTGTTCTCTCTGCCTGCTCTCTCTTCTCCCTCTCGTCCCCACTACCTCCATCTTCCCCTGACTAGCTCCAACACATGATGTGAGGTTCACTTTTGAATGGCTTTCCTTGATGCTCCCAGGTGTGATTAAGTCCCTCCTTAATACTCCTCTATTACATTTGCATTCTTCTATTAGGCTCTTTTTTTGTCTTCAGTGATACTGTGAAGTCCTAGAGGACAAGTACCTCTTCCTTCTTTCATCTTTGTATTACCTAGGGCTAGAATACAGTCTGTTACATGGTAAACATTCTGTAAATTTATGTTTAAACAACCCCACTCAAGTAGCAGAGGGGAGTACCTTGTGAGATCTATAGAACCCATTTGGCACATGTTCCAGGTAAGTTAAACTTGTATCGTGGAGCTTTCATGTGTACAGTTAACCTAACACCATGGGGGTTAGGGACGTCAACCCTCCACATAGTTGAAAATCTGAGTATAATTTATAGTGAGCCCTTTGTATCCATGGTTCCTCTCTATCTGCAGTTCCACAACTATAGGTCCCACCAACCATGAATAGTGTAGTACTGTGGTATTTACTATTGAAAAAATCCACGTGTTAAATCAGAGAAAAAAATGTGACAATGAATGTGTATATGTCCATGAATGACTGAAAAATTGTGCTAAACACTGGAATTTGACACAACATTGTAAAATGATTATAAATCAATAAAAAACGTTAAAAAAAAAAGAAAAAATCCACGTGTAAGTGGACCTCTGCAGTTCAAGCCCATGTGGGACCTCTGCAGTTCAAGCCCACTGTATATCTTCTCCACACTACTTTCCAAATCCAGTTTAGACAAGGATTGTCCTGCAAATTGTGCTTCATACAATCCTCAAAGACTGCTAAAATTCTTGTTCATGTATTCATTTACTTGAAGGTCTAGGGTATTTTGAAATCAAATCATCTCTTCTAGTGTTATTCTCCATCAGTGCTTCTCAAGTTTTAGTGTGCATAAGAATCACCTGGAGAGTTTATTGGAACAGAGATTCCGATTTAGTAATTTTTGAGTGGGGCCTAGAATTTGCATTTCAAACAAATTCAGAGATGCTGCTGCTAACTGCTGCTGCTACTACTACTGCTGGTCCTCAGATGATGCTTTTAGTAGCTCTGCCCTGTATGATAGCCATAGAGAAAATGTGCATCTGTTTCACCATAATTCTTCCATCCCCAGGCTACATGACAGAATATGGCTGTATGGCTCATACAATTTATGTTGCACACTGAAGAGTCATTAGTGCTGTTCAGATAGTTTCGACTTTCTAGGCACTTGGTAGGATTGCACTTTTCTTATGGTTGGTCCAGATCAACTATGCAGGGATCTTTAAAGCTAACTCCTAGAAACTGCCACAGTAGTTGGGGATACTTTAGTGGAAGTAAGAGAGCAGTTGGGGACACGGCAGAAGGGATGGAGGGCCCACAGTAGCAGTGAGAGTGAGACAGAGAAATGGGTAATTCTTAGATCTTTATGATAGAAAAGAGTATTTCTGGTGGATGTTATGACAATGTTAGAAGGACCTGCACTTGTTAATGAAATATGTTCCCATCTTCTTACTATTCCATTATGCAGAAAGTTGAAACTCTTAGTTTAGACACTCTTTGCACTAAAATTAGATAGATTGCAGATTATGTAAAACGGAGCAAGAGAAAGAAAAAGAAAAAAAAGAGCAAGGAAATAAAATAATCAAAGATTTATTTCTAAGTGTAGGAAACATTAATCTTCAATAGATTTCTAGTGATAGAACTACTAGTCAAAAATATCAGTGAATTTTGAATTGTGGTTTTCAACTGGTTCTAATAGTTAATTTTCTGATTTGTAAATCTTTAAGTATAGATAACTCTGAATGCTTATAAACACGCCATTGCTTCCTGCAGCCTCCATAACATTGCTCTGGTGTACCCTAAGATCCACATAAATATCTTTTTTAAAAGATTTTAGGTCAAGAAAATAGATCCACATAATGTTTCATTTTAAACATAGATTAAAAATCAACATCTAAAAATGGGCAAAACCACATTTGCCTCCCATATTATAGTTATACTGTTCCTCCTGGCATTTAGTCATGCAGAGACCCAAAGAGATAGATGGTCCTAAAAGCCAGCACAGCCGTGAGCTGTGAGACTTGGAGAATCTCCTTATAAGACTGTTCACCAAAGCACTGCTTTCATAGAGCACTTGGCTTATAAAAAGAATGAACTAAAAAAAAATCTGACAAACATTAACATTTAGATGTTCAGGCCATCAACAGTAATACTATATATATAGTATATATACATATATATGTATGTATATATATATATATATGTATATGAGAAACTAAAATAATATTTTTATTTTAAGGCTTTCAAGGTCATTCACCATATGTAATATAACTGCAACTGCAAATGTTTAGTTGTAATCCATCGATATAATCCATTAGTTCCCCTCAATGAAACCACACCATAAAGAAGCTTTTAGTGGCAGGGCAGGGTATGGTAAGGATAAGAAAAATATGGGGAATGTCGTTCAACTACCTCTATAAATTAAAAACAAAGTAGAGATTGGGACTGGCTACAGATGAATATCCCCTTAGAGTATAGAATTTTCCCATTTTATTGGATTCCTCAGAAACTAATTGCTCTGTTCAACAAGGCTTTTGTGGGCTAATTATACTGCTACAGGACTTTTACAAATCATTCCTTCTAATTTTTTAATGGAGACTTTATATTCCCCAGTAAAATAAGAATGGAATTTTTCATAAATCATAATGTCTTTCTGTATTATCTGTCTATCCATAGACTGAGTAGTGGCCCTCCAAAGATATCCATGTCCTAATCCTTGGAACTTGTGAATATTCTACATTACATGACAAAAAGGGCTTTGCAGATGTGATTAAGACATTCGTATTCTGTGTTAGGGATCTTGAGAATGGGGAGAGTAGCCTGGATTATCCAGGTAGGCCCAGTGTAATCACAAGGTGTCATATAAGAGGGAAGCAGGAGGACGAGGGTCAGAGAAGATAATGTAACAATGGAAGCAAAAGGAGAGTTTAGAAAATGTAATGGTGGAAGCAGCATAGTCAGCTCAAACGATGCTTTGCTGCTGATATGAAGATGAGGGAAGGGGCCACAAACCAAGGAATACAGGCAGCCAATAGCTGGAAAAAGCAAGGAACTGGCTTCTCCCCTAGGCCTTCCAGACAGAACGCAGCTTGCCACCACCTTGACTTTAGCCTAGTGAAACTGATTTTGAAGTTCTGACCTCCAGAATTGTAAGGTAATAAGTTTGTGTTGTTTTAAGCCATCGAGTTTGTGGTAATTTGTTGCAGCAGCAATAGAAAATTAATATACCAACTAAGTTAAGGCTTAGAACATTTCTGTTTTGTAAACAAGTGAATAATTTTAGCCAGGTAGAATTCCATCTTCAGGGTACTAGCTGTTACCAAAATACTGTGACCTCTTACTTCCACTAAATGTGGCAGAAGCCCATTTCCCTTTCATTGCTCCTCTGATCTGCTATTTGTTGAATTCGTGCTATACCATTTTATATAAGGGACTTGAGCAATTGCATAACTGCATATTTTGGCCATTGGTAGTGCTAGGATCTTGGAACCAATCCCCCATGGATACCAAGAAAGGACCATTCCTGTTTCATGTGACAAGTATTTAGTTTTAAGAGAGAAAGCTAACTGACTAATTTATGTTTTCCTTTAATGTTTGGATTTCTTTGATCTTAGCCATGTGTATTAGTTTTTAACATTTGAAGTTTAAAAATGCATTATGTTGTGACCTTAAAAACTGCAAAGGAATCCTATTCTCAGCCCAAACCAACCAGGCTAACATATTTGTTTCACATTCTCATTAGCAGCCTTAATGAGGCCCAGGCCTATGATTGAGCTGTCTCTGAATTACTCAACAGAGATATTCTCCACAGTGCTGAGTACCACACAACAGAGGAACTAAACTGTCATTTATTCTCTTGCTCTGTTACCATGATTTCTCTGTTCAACTTTTGCTTTGTTGGATTTAGATCCCTTTAAAGGGGTGTCATGCTTGCCTGTCTTTTCATAATCTAGTTCCTGAAAATCAAAAGGTAGTGACATCTTTAGGGTTCATTTTCATTTATGATTTTCTTTAGAATTCCTTACTGAAATTGATGGAGTTAAACAAAAATTTAAAAGATATGTTGAATTTCCAATATTATTAAGGCATCTTAACTTTTAGTTTTAGCATCATCCATTTTTGTAACATTTCAGAAAGGTTAGGAAATCACATTCATTTTCCTTTTCTCTCTCTCTTTTTTTTGGGGGGAGGGGTGAAGGGAATTTTTTCCCCAGATGGTCAAATTGAGATATCAAGCCCAAAGAGTATCTGTGGGAACTGAGTAGATGCATGAACTTTTGGCTGCCCACATCTGGCCTTCTCCCTATGCTTGGGGAAACATTCTATGTAATAAATCTTGTAACATCCTAAGCATTGTGCTGTGCTTGGTTCAAGATAACTCCTTCTAGCTGAGGAAATGAGATTATCCCACATAAAACTGTCCTAATTTGGTAGACAAGCTCATCATCAGGTGCTATATTGAATAGCATGCTCTTAAGAGTTAGAAGATGGGGGATTCACTAAACTATAAATTGGCTAAGAAAAGCTTTTGACTGAAGGGAATTTTTGAGTCCTGCTTTGAAAGATAGTTACTATCTGCATAAAGGAGAAAGAAAATGGCATTCTAGATGAGATTAATTTAACAAACTATATTAAATTGTCTACATAGCATGATCCAGTGGAGAAAAGTTAACTGTCATCTCAACTTTGCACAATCAAGACTAAAAATATTTTACTGCAAGTATTCTCACTAAGGTTTTGCACAATTTCTGCTAAAGAATTGCCCTGTGCTCCTTCATGTCCATTTCAACACCCTTTCCAAAGCTCTGTGGCCTTACATATCTCATGCCCTCTGCCTGGAATGCCATTTTCTTCCCTGGTAGCCTGACCACATTAGCCCAGGAAATTCCTACACAGCTTTCAACACTCAAACATCACTGTCGTAACTTTCCTATGCAGAATTAGGCTCTTTGGTTTTCAAGATACCTTGAACATAGCTATAGTCTTGTACTTATTCCATCACATGACTATTTTTGTTTGTTTTGCTGGAAGATTTAAAAGCAAATTCCAGACATTGTATCATTTTAACCTTAAATACTTCAGTATAAATCTCTAACAGATTAGGACTTTCAAAGAAAGAGCAACAATATTATCACACCACATAAAATTAGCAATAATGAATATTCTTAATGTCCAGCTCATGTTCAATTTCTCTAAAATGGATTTAGCTGACTGGTTACAATCTGGGGCTTCTGAGACAACAATAAGTGTGTATATTTTACCATTGGAGTACATTAATGTTGTCATTTAATCTCACTGCAGAGCCTCTGATGGCCTGTTTTATACAGCATAGCAAGGACAAAATTTTAAATGGAAAATAAAATGTAGATAAGATAAAATTTTAGCTTTGAGCATGAATTATTGCATGGCCTTGGATTTATTAAATAATGTACTCTTAAGCAAGTTTATAGCCTTCTGGGGGCAAAATCCATTTTGTCCACCAGTGGACCTAGGACACCCAAAGAGCAGTTATTGGTGGAATAGTCTCCTGAGGGTAGGAGCAAGACTCTCCTACTGGGTCTCTCTCTTGACCGATGTAGACCATAGGCTAACAGTCAAACCAAATGAATTTTTTAAAAAACCAACAAAACCAACAAGCTGGAATAGAATTTTTACCCCCCAATGTTTCTTTCTAAAGTGAAGGACCTTGATTAGTTTAAAATTCCTGGCTTCTCTCAAGCCCTTCCTCACTGTGCCAGGGGAAAGTGGAGTGACTTGCCTGATTTATGTAATTTTGAGAAGAATAAATTACTCAAGAAAACTCATCTCTGTTTTCTTCTGGGAGCTAGCTTCCTGCAGGGAGTAGAAGGTCTTTACTTCTCCGTGACATAACCTGGGCAACTCTCCACCCCTGTAGAAGATTACCTGTGCCTGAGTGGGTAAGTCTGTATAATTCTGGGGTTCACTTTGCAGGCCCTTTTGGGATGCTAGCTGTGGATTCCAATATAGCCATTATCAGAAATCAAGATGATATTTATGTCTCCAAATGTTCTATGAGCATATATAAGACTATGGTCAATTTCATTTCTCAGATTTTTCAGAACCCAAATGGGGATGAAGGATACTATTTGGTGGGGAGGGTCTTGTCAAAAATATAAATAATCATTAAATATTATGACAGTATGCTGCTGTACTGTATTGACTAATATTTTGCATAGGATTTTATGTTGATATTCTTAAGTGGGATCAATTTATGGCTTTCTTTTAGGGTTTTTGTTACCAATATTACAATAACTTTATAAAAAGAATTTAGAAGTTTTCATTCTTTTTATTTTCTATGCTCTGCAACAATTTAAATAGTATTGGAACTATCAATAATTTATATTTTCCCCAAAAATCACCCTTTTAATTCAGGTTCTCAAATTCATTTGCTTAGAGTTGAGCAAAGTAGTTACTTACGAATCTTTCAGTTTTCTCTGTATTTGTGGTTATTACATCATCATTTTCAACTTTTGTACTTCCTGTGCTATCTATCACCCATTTGCCCACTTGACAGGTGACCTAATGGTTTATTTTTATATATTCTTATGTGTTGGGGGCAAGAAACAGTTCTTGGATTTATATAATAGTTTTACATATTTTTTTTCAAATACTGAATACTTTTAATTTATGATTCTTCCCTTGGCATTCTTTTTTCTCCCTAACTTGAGTCTTACTTGTAAATGTAAAATTTCCAGCTATGAATTTTCTTCTCAGCTTTGCTTTGCTTCTATTCCATATTTCTAATGTATTGATGAGTAAAGTCATTTGATAAGCAAGCAGATTTGCCCAGTTGAGAGTTCTGTTGTCCCTTGAAGAAGAGCGTTGAATGATCATTGGATAAATATGTCCAAGTCTCTTAACTGGAAGTCTCTTAAGCAACAAAGTTATTCCCAATAGTTTTCTGCCCTTCCCACTGAGAGATGTATTTTGTACTTCATTGGTGTTAAACTTGAGCATGTGGCTTGTTTTGGACAATGAAATATTAACAGATGGTCCATTGTGAGTTTCTACCCTTGTGGAATTCTGTCATTCCTGTTATCTCTTTGCCCCAAGATCGGTGTCCCAGACTGGGGTTGTTTCTTTGTCCAGGGTCCCAGAATGAAGAAGACATGGAGTAAGGGTGGAAGTAATGGGTGAAGGACATGTTATGGGAGCAAGAAATAAACTGCTTTTGTAAACTGCTGAGATTTCTGAGGTGTTTATTATTGCATCATGTTGGTTATAGCATAACTGTCTTATATAGCATATATTGAATATATATGTGTGTGTATATTCCTTTATATGTACCTTTATACACTATATTATATGTACATATATCATGTATACCCGAATATGACATAGTAACATCTTTTGAACAAATAATGTATATTTTATGGAACTTAAGATGTAACTTTTGCTAATTAAATTTTTATTAAAGTTTATAGTTATGTCTTTGCTTTTACAATATGTTTTTTCTCATAGTTGTGACTTCTTTGATGCCAAGCCTTTGGTCAAAAAGCTCCTCCATTATAGCTTTGTTTCTTTGAGAAAATCCCATTGCTCTGTACCTTTCAGCTTTGGGACTTTTTTCTAGAAATTCACTAATATGAAAAAAAGACAGTGCCTCTACTTGTTTGCAGTTTTTGAATTCTGATTTTATTACTCCTTAAAACCAGTGGAAATGACCTGTAATTCTAGTGACATAATAGGTCTTGTAAGTATTGTATTTTACAGAAGAAAAAAATTGTCTCCTATAACCATCAGATATATAAACAGAACAAGATATGAAGATAGTTTAAAGAATTCTAAATACGGAAAAGAATTTTTTTTTTCTGGAAAACATAATCAATAAGCCAGGTAGTAGTTAAAGATTCTAAAATATACATCTTATTTTTAACACTGTAAATTAAGAGTTGTGTCTTTGATTTAGTGAGTACTCGTATAATTTTTCAATTATTGTAAGGTCTTATAGAATATTATATATTGGTAGATCTAAGCAAAACATAAGATGCCAAAAATATTTGAAAATAGTATTTTTGATTCAGTAACCCCTGCCTTACATTGTCATTATTTCACATGGCAAAGGTGGCATAAGTGAAAATTTGGTTAATTGTCTACTTTTGTTCTTATAAACCTCGGTTCTCTATATGTTAGTACAAATCTGAGCTTTAGTATGCTAATCTCTGAGTAATCAAATAGGCCTAGGAAAAAATAATCCACAGGAGAACGGCAACTACAGGCCATATGATTTGCATTATTAGTACTTTCCATGTAATAATTCTACACATTGTTATCATTAGCAACACTATTTCAATCATGAATATCACCAAGTTCAGAAGAAATCATTTCTGAATTGTCTCTATTAGACCATGATCAAGAGGAAAAAATGCAAGACTGAATTTTCCTTTAGTGTTATATCTGACATTTTTAAATAGACTCATTTTCTGTGGTTTCATGTAACCTATTACATTTGTCACTGAATGGCAAGGAGGCCTGTCTCTCATTAGCACTTCCGCTAGTACTTGAGAAAAATATCCTGGAAGAAAAAAGATACAATTTTCCCTCCCTGGATTTGGAGGCATTTGATTTTTTTGGAGAATTTCAGTGTATATCATCTCTAATTTTAGTTGAATACCCTTTACCATATGATGTTACAAGATATAACAAACACACTATCCGCCTAGAAGTATGTTTCTCTTTGATCCTAAAAATGGCTTTTGATTAAAAAATTGGCTCTCCATTATGTTAAGAGTGAGATAGGATTTAAATGGTGGTCGGGGAGACTGATCTATAAAAGACAGAACAAAAGAATGAATCAGAATTAAATGTTACTTTTTTATCCATCTCTTAATTTTTTTCCCCTCCTTTATGTTCATCTGAGCCCCAAGATTCCTTGTAAACTTGCGTAGATGTGGAATGTGTTTATATTGGATTTGTCTGTTATGTGGGTGTGTGTGTCTTTATAAAGCTGTCTTGGGAAGTGTTTTTAGCCCAGTTATTTGCTTTGCTCCTCCTTCCTTTTTCTCCTAGCACTGGAGATGTTCTTAACATCTGTTAGTGACTCTGTTAGGGTGAGTCATTTAGGATATGAATGTTAGACTGTGTTACTCCCATGCTTAAAATTGCTTCTTGGCTCCCTCTTACCTACGAGATGAAACCCACACTCTATCCAGCATAATAAGGTCTTCATAATCTGGTCCTAATCTTCCATTCTGGCCTTATCTACAACCTCCAGGGGTCTAAACTATCTATAGTTTCCCTACAAGCTATTTTGTAACCCCTCTGTCTTTACGAATCCTATTTGTGTGGCCTGGGATGTTCTTCACCAACTGGGGAAGCTGATTAATTCCTTTTGTTCCTTTTGTTTTAACTCAAATTCTAGACCTTTTTAGGGAAGCCTTTCCTACTCTGCCTCAGGCATCCTACAGAGTTCCTACTGTACTTTGTACACACCTGATGAAGCAAAGATGGCTAATTTACTTCCAATCCAACATCCTTTCTAGCCTCTCCTCATAAGAGATTCCTGATTTTATTTGGGATGGCACTGTGTCCAATTCCCAAACTTCTTGTGACTAAGTGATCAGTCTCTGGCCATTGAAATACAAATGTATGCTGAGTGGGACTTCCATGAAATTTTCGGAAAAGGAGAAACCTGGCACTGGCCCTTTTTGTCTTTATGTACGGCCTGAAATGTGGATGTATTGATTGGAGCTTCAGCATCCATCTTGGACCATGAGACTCCCTTGAAAATGAACACTATTGCATTAGAGATGGTGGGGCAGAAAGGAAGAAATCTGAGATTGACACTGAAATTGCCTTAATAGCATTGGACTGTATATTGCTGAACTCTTTACGTGAGAGATAGAGTTTTATTTCTTGTGGTTTAACCTGGCCTGATTTAGGTTTTCTGTTATGTATACCAACTCTAATTTTGACTAATACATCTGCATTATAGCCATTAACAAAGTGTATTAATATTGGCCTATTTTCATATATATATGTATCTTTCCCACTATGTTATTTCTTAGTAGGAGAGGTGGGGTTGCTATGTTGTGTTGTAATATAAATATCATACTGAGTCCTGCCAGGACATGACTCTTGAGTTGGTAGTGGGAGTGAGGGGGAGGATGAGGTCTTCCAAAAGGTCATTCGTTTCTTTTCCTTTTTTTTTAACCAACTATCACTATGCAGAGAAATTACATAATTATTGACTGTATTCCTCACACTGTGTGTTTCATACTGTGACTCATTTATTTTGGAACTGGAAGTTTGTACCTCTTTCTCTTCTCCCCCACCTTCTCCCTTCTAGCAATCACCAGTTTGTTCTTTTTATCTATGACTGTTTCTATTTAGTTATATTTATTCATTTGTTTTGTTTTTTAGATTCCACATGTAAGTGAAATCATAAAGTATTTTTCTTTCTCTGACTTATTTCACTTAGTGTAATACCCTGTAGGTCTATCCATGTTGTATCAAATTGCAAGATTTCATTCTTTTTTATAGCTGAGTAATATTCCATTGTATATATATACTGCATCTTCTTTATCCATTCACTTACTGATGGGCATTTAGGTTGCGTCCATATCTTGGCTATTGTAAATAATGCTGTGATGAACATAGAGGTGCATGTATCTTTTCAAATTAGTGTTTTCGTTTTCTTTGGGTAAATAACCAGGAGTAAAACCTCTCTATCATATAGTAGTTCTATTTTTAATTTTTTGAGAAATCTCCTTACTGTTTTCCACAGTTGAACCATGTACATTCCCACCAACAGTGCATGAGAGTTCCCTTTTTGTCACATCCTCACCAGTACTTTTTATTTGTTGTCTCTTGTCATGTGCCTGTTTGCCATCTGTATGTCTTCTTTGGAAAAATGTCTATTCAAGTCCTCTGCCCATTTTTAAATCAGTATTTTTTT